ACAACTCTTGGCTATAACAAAATCATTAATGTTTGAAGTAGTATTCCAGCTACAAGGTTACGGCCGACCTCGGGGACTGACAGTCGATCAGCAGTCAACGAACTGGTTACGTAGCATTAACAGATATGGAGGTAAATAAAATGGTCTGAATGAGATGAAAGAAAAAAAAAAAAAAAAAAAAAAAAAAAAAAAAAAAAAAAAAGCAAAACTTTCATTTTATAAAATTAGGCACTAGGCACTGTGATACAAGTGCAGAACAAGATGCCCACTGTAATATTTAGTCGTTTATGAAAGCAACGATTGGTAATTATAGTAGATATAACTGGGATTTTTTTCATTAATTTACGCGACGTCTATTTCAATGGAAACTGAAATTTGACGTTAATGTGAGTTTAGATATATCACCTGGTGCTACCGGTATAGTCGATTCCTCCGGACCGGGAGCATATTGAAATCCGACGTGGACCATTTCAAATTCAAATCATATGACTTGGGGATGATCCCCATGTCACATCAGACAAATCTGAAGCCTCCTACTGATATCAGTAAGGGCTGAATAAGGCAACCAGGAGGTCGCCGAAAGCTACCCGTGAGTAGGTCTTAGTTGAGAGACTCTTTTAAATGTTTGTTTAATACATTTCAAATTGTAACACAACAGGACAGAATAGTTTGGAATAATAGTGGATTAGTGAACTAGGGTCCTGCCGATGTGTATGAGGTAACGTGTCAGGCTGATGTTACATTTTATCCGTTTGACCAGCAGAAATGTTCTTTGGTTTTCGGTCTTTACATGGTTACATTGATAGATGTGATCATTGAAACATTCTCAGATGATATTCACACTGATTTTTATTATCCCAACGGAATATGGGAATTAAAAGATACAACCTGCGAGATTTATCCTGTCATGAACTCACCAACACTGGTACTGACGATTGAGATGAATAAACGTCCAATGTTTCAAGTTATAAACACTATTGTACCATTCAGTATTTTAGGACTGTTGAACATTCTGGTGTTTCTTCTCCCTGCTGAGTCCGGTGAACGTATTGGTTTTACTGTTACAGTGTTGCTAGCTATTGCTGTGTTTATGAGTAGTGTGACGGAGACTCTTCCTGGAACAAGTGAGCCTTCTTTCCCTCGACTGTGTTATCGAATTGTACAATCCTAGTATCAAGATTACATTATAAACCGAAGCACCAAACTGTTCCTTTTTGGCTACGTTATATATCATGCAAATGTATTTGTTACCACGCAAAAAAACAAAATAAACAATAAACATAAAAACAACACAGATCTAAACAATCAAAGCACCATTTGCATAGAAACTGTGGTGGCAAAGATTCGGGAATCGGAAAGAAATAATACAGGAAGTGAAAAAGATTTGGAATGGAACAGCAACAATACTGGAAATGGAAACAGCAGGCCTCAGCCAGAAGGGAAAATCACTTGTGGTAAAACGTCTTGGCAGAGTGTGGCACATTTTCTTGATGTGTTTCTCGTTGTTTTTTTCATAGTGATTTTCCTCTTAGACAAGATAGTCGCATATGTTATATGATCTTAAAATGCATATAGTGTAAACATATGTAAATAACCGATGTCATCAATAACTGCAGGATAATTTTGTTCTGAATATTTTAGTTCCGTTTCATACAGAAACACAGAATTGACAAGCAACAATATTACGATCCAGTTTGAAACTTCCTTTAATAACCCTGTAACTATATCCTCATAAAATCTTGTGTGTTTTCATAAATGTCAGCATTGTAGTAAAGTCTACTGCAACCGTCATTTATACATATCGAGGATGATGATATAGATTTGAGCCTTGTTATCATGCCATCTGTTTCTCTGTAAAAGCGGCCAACATGTTTAACTGCTGAAACGAATTTGGACAGTGGAAATTAGGGGTGACAGGAATGTGGGACAGTCGTATTAGTTATGTGACCGGATATTGGGACAATTGAATTTGTGATGGCTGGATAGTGGGACAGTCAGATTAATGAAGGCTGGATAGTAGGACAGTCGGATTGTGATGGATGGATATTGAGAGAACCAGATTAATGATTGCTGGATAGTTAGACAGTTGGATGTGTGCTGGCTAGACAGTGGGACAGTCAGATAAATGATGGCTGGATAGTGGGTCAGTCAGATTAAGTATGGCTTGATAGTGGGACAGTCAGATTAATGATGGCTGGATAGGGGGACAGTCAGATTAATGATTGCTGGATAGTGGGGCAGTCAGATTAATGATTGCTGGATAGTGGGACAGTCAGATTAAGTATGGCTGGATAGTGGGACAGTCAGATTAATGATTTCTTGATGGGACAGTCAGATTAATGATGGCTGAATAGTTGGACAGTCAGATTAATGATGGCTGGATAGTGGGACAGTCAGATTAATGATTGCTGGATAGTTGGACAGTCAGATTAATGATTGCTGGATGGGACAGTCAGATTAATGACGAGCATCAAAGGACAGGATGGTGTACCGCGTGGCGCAAGGGAAGGGAGAGAGGAAACCACAATAGCGATACCTCAAGAGTTTGTCCCCTCTGTGTCCAGAGTCTGCAAAACATAGAATGTATGGAGCCGAAAAAGGATAACACGTGACCAAACAGCTGTTTCGCCCTTCTAAAACTTATCGGTGATGTTAGGGGTCAAAAACGGGCGTGGTTCAATCCAAATTGGTCTTGAAACAGAAGAGGAAGTCACAACCCCCCTTCTTTATATGAGAGAATTTGATTGACCATTTATAACCACATATATCGAACGTTGGCTGTCGGGTTGTCCAATATTCCTGCAGAGTCCTGCTTAATAAATAATCATAAATAAGATAAATAAGTAAATAAATAAATAAATAAATAATAAACAGACGGATTTCATGGGTGCCTATTTTGACAGCAGAAACCGTTAATTTGTTCACTCACATTGCAACATTGTTAAAAATTAATCAGAATACTTGTGAATTAAATACCGTTTAATGTGTGATTTGATAATATGAAATTAATAGACGCCGGCATATGACCTTTAACTATATTCATATCAGGGAATTAAACTAATGTCCATGTTCTATCATACTATCTGCGGTGGTATTAACTGTCTATATGTACCGTGATCTAAATATCACTCTTTTGTCCTAACTAGTTTTAAGCTTTTTCTTTATATAACTTGTGTGTCTCCTTTATTGTACCGAACGTAACAACGATTGGTCCTGGTTTCTCTTCCGGATCTTCGCGTGGTTTCCCGGGTCTTTCGATTGTTTTTTTTATTGTTTTTTTATTTACAGACTGCTGACATTTTCCCTGTTTCTTTGTTATCTTGCATACTTTCGCTTCTTGGTTTCATGATACCGTAAACAATGTTATCCCGCCTCAGGCAAAAATCCTGTAGTCCTATTGGTTAAAACGACATCACATGATATTCAGTATATTTTCATATTAGGTCAGTAGAATCTCACATTAGGTAAGTACGAAAGAGTTATCGTTCTTTGTCCATAAGTGTCACCTTGTAACTAGATTGCGACCAAGCGGTTTGTACAGACGACAGCCGATGACATGTTAACAAAAATGTTATAACAAACATTTTTTTTTTATCCAAAGGGCCTTCGACGGGATAAATTCGTTACACAGTTTGTTAGTGACCTAATACGGAAAAATATTGGGTCTAAAAGAAACTTGTATCGGGCGAGGCGAATACACATGCATTTATTATATATGATGGTAGGATATTGAATTTATAGCATAACGGAAAAACAGTACTTCTGCTTAAACTCTAAAATGCATGTACAAATTATTATATGCAAATGTACATAATTATGTATAGTTTATGTAACAACTTTTCATACAAAAGTATTTAGTAATAGAACAAAACCTATACCAATTATTAACCTTTTGTTGATCAAAATCGTCGACTGTCGCTTTTCTCTTTTCGGTCAAAATGACATGAGATGCTGTTTTCACCACAGGAGTTTAGATACATTCATTATATATTTTACCAAACTTCACATATACATTCCGGAGGAGTGGTGCTCACATAGGTCGGACACATTATAAGCTTTCAAGCATTTACATGTGATGATTTTAAAACGAAAGCTGCAGAAATGGCGGCACATCGTTCAAAAGGGAATTTCAGTTAAAGGATGTTGGGTGGCGCATTGGGTAGCGCACTTGCCTTTCACCAAGGCAATCGGGGTTCGATTCCCCGATCGGACGTGAAAAGGTATGAGGTCACCTGCCGGATCACGTATGTTTTCTCCGGGTTCTACTGTTTCCTCCAACATTAAGACCCCTACGCGCTAATTAACATCCAGGCCAAAAGAGTGATGAATGTTAGTTGAAATAAATAGTTTCATAATTGTTGTAAAATAAAGTTTAAAAAAAGACTGATATATATGTTTAAAAGTATAACAATAGTTTGTATGCAAATGATATGCAGATACCGTAGTACAATAAACTAATAATGGTCAACAATAGCTCGGAATAAGATTACATTTGTATCTAAGTCCATGGTAATAGTCTTTCTTTAAAAGGGCAATAATTAAAAGCCAATACCTTAAGGTTGAGAGAGCAGTGATATGTTTTTCAATTCACCATTTGAAGTTCAATTTGGTCAATATGCTTTGTACTTTAGTTGATTATTGAAAATATCAGACTCTATATATAACAGCAAAATTTGAAAAGTATTTTAAGTTCATCGTTTTTTCCGGTAAAAATGGAAAATGGAAAAAAATCATACGTTTATTTATGTACATGTACACGTTAGATGTATAAATTTCCTGCTCTATGTAATAAGGTTAATTTCTATTGCAAGCTATGCTTAAATGTTTGCCGAGTCATTTTGTATATTCTGTTTGTCGATGTTTCTTTATGTTGATGACGGTTCCAAAAGGTAATGCTACGTCTTCATAACATGAAAAGCTTTAGCGAAGCTAACAATGCTACAGGTGTGAACTGACGCCTACACAATATCAAAAGGGAAGTAACTCGCGAAAACCACAACACAGCTATCCAACATGGCTGAAACTGTCAGGGAGCCGGTGCACTTCGACCAGAGTATCGACGAAAATGAGATAGAATCGGCTGGGATTGAAGCCCTGAAAACAGTGCGACCACAATGGGATCCGACAAATATAAAAGCAAAGGTATTTGGCATTCTAAATCATGATCGCTTATAGCACTCTACTCGTGCGATTTTGTTAACTGATGCTGGCTACTGTACCGATCAATAAGCAGATTGCTCTAAGTGCATGTATTCACCAGTTTTTAAACTGCTTTGCCATGAAATATTTGCACACACAAAAATGTAAAATTTTAGTTTGTTTGTAGGTGTGTGTATTAACATGCCCTGTGATGAACGTTAGTATAGTTGGTTACAGCTTTCTCCTTGACAATATATATAAGCTCAGGCCATGCCAGTGCAGCTGACCTAGGCCTACTGCTTGATACCGTTTTATCCGCTTATAAATACACATGTACCGAGTACACATAGTAGGATGTTTTGCCATCGCAAAGCTATATATAGTCTCACTTGATTAAATAGTTCACTTATATAAACTTTATTATTTTCACAACAATTATGAAAAAAAAGTTCTTTTCAAATACTCTTGTAAAAAAAAAGACTTTATTATTTTTTGATAAAATGTGAGAGGAAACAGGCAGGGACAGGGCACCTTTTCACATTTGATCTGGGAATTGAACCCTGACTGCCTTGTTGAAGGGCAAGTGCGTGATCCACTGTACCACCCAACCAACCAAATATCCTATAGTATTTGGGTGTTGGTTTTTTTATGAATCATTTTCTGTATTTTTACCATTTTGCATTGAATGCGTAATTCCACAGTATTTCCGCATATTCTCCGCATTGTGAATTCCACACTTTTTCCGCAAGTGCAGAGTATTCGGAATTCCACAAATACGTAAAAAATGCGTAAAAAATGGAAAACTGAAATTTACGCACTTGCGTAGAAAATGCGTAAAAAAAATCCACAAATTTTCCACATTGTAAATTCCACACTTTTTCCGCAAATGCAGAGTATTCGGAATTCCACAAATACGTAAAAAATGCGTAAAAAATGGAAAACTGAAATTTACGCACTTGCGTAGAAAATGCGTAAAAAA